GTGGAGGCGCGCGTCGCCGCGAGCGCCGAGACGGCGGCCCGCGAGGCCCGCGCGGCCGTGGCCGGGGAGCTGCGCACGGCGGGCCGTGGGGGGCACGGAGCGGCACGGCCGACCTCCTCCTCCTCCTTCTCCTCCTCCTCCTCCTCCTCCTCCTCCTCATCTCTTCGGGAGCCTTGAAACGGGGGTCGATGCAAACGGGGGTCAGCCAGAGCGCCCGACCTTGCAGGATCCTGCAGGGCCAGGGGCTTGGCGCGAAGCGGATGGCACAGGGCGGAGGCTGCGACGTCCCCGCTGCGACCTGTCGGTCTCTGCATCCAGCCCAATAATAGGGATGTGCCGCTTGACGAGCCAGTGCCTCTTGCTGACTTCACCCGTGCTCTAGACGGCAGTGGTTCGGCCTCGACTGGTGAGGTGGGGAGTTGGTCGCTGGCGCCCTCCCTCTTGGGGCAGGGCTGTTAGCGATTTCCTCTCTGTCTTGCTGGTCTTAGCCCTTGCGATGCGACGTGTCAAAATTATCCTGGCGAAGGACCCAACCATATGCAAACGTGAATACCGCAGGGCAGGTGGGACGAAGCAAAAGGAATTTCCCAATATGGCCACGAACCGTGTGAGGGGTGCGCCACGCTGGGGCGGGGCCGCCATGCGAACCCTGCCACTGAGGCCTTCGGTGGAGCTCCCTATGTCCCTACGGGGCCACGAACCGTGTGAGGGGTGCGCCAAAATGGGGCGGGGCCGCCATGCGAACCCTGCCACTGGGGCCTTCGGTGGAGCTCCCTATGGGGCCACGAACCGTGTGAGGGGTGCGCCAAAATGGGGCGGGGCCGCCATGCGAACCCTGCCACTGGGGCCTTCGGTGGAGCTCCCTATGGGGCCACGAACCGTGTGAGGGGTGCGCCAAAATGAAGCGGGGCCGCCATGCGAACCCTGCCACTGGGGCCTTCGGTGGAGCTCCCTATGGGGCCACGAACCGTGTGAGGGGTGCGCCAAAATGGGCGGGGCCGCCATGCGAACCCTGCCACTGGGGCCTTCGGTGGAGCTCCCTATGGGGCCACGAACCGTGTGAGGGGTGCGCCAAAATGGGGCGGGGCCGCCATGCGAACCCTGCCACTGGGGCCTTCGGTGGAGCTCCCTATGGGGCCACGAACCGTGTGAGGGGTGCGCCAAAATGAGGCGGGGCCGCCATGCGAACCCTGCCACTGAGGCCTTTAGTGGAGCTCCCTATGGGGCCACGAACCGTGTGAGGGGTGCGCCAAAATGGGCGGGGCCGCCATGCGAACCCTGCCACTGGGGCCTTCGGTGGAGCTCCCTATGGGGCCACGAACTGTGTGAGGGGTGCGCCAAAATGGGGCGGGGCCGCCATGCGAACCCTGCCACTGGGGTTTTCGGTGGAGCTCCCTATGGGGCCACGAACCGTGTGATGGGTGTGCCGAAATAGAAGCATGCGGAGGGTGATGGTGATGATGACGACCATGTTGATGCTGATGATGATGACGATGACGATGATGATGATGGTGGGTGATGACGATGATGCTGATGATGATGAGACGAGGAGGGAGGAGGCAGCGGGAGGAGGAGGAAGGAGGAAGGAACGCGGGGCACCGTCTCTTCAAAACGAGGACCCAACACCACAGGACGGTTGGGAAAAACCCACCAAACCACCCCAACCCAACCCGAAGGCTTCAAGTTGCCCTCCATTTCCGGTTTGGGGGGGTCGGGGAGCGTTGAAAGAACACATGCAACCCGCCCCCCCCCCCCAGCCCGAGCTTCGGGTCAAATTCGGGTCTTCGGGTTGAGGTTGGGGTGGTCTGGTAGGCTGTCCGTCGGCGAGGTGCCGCCCCTTCCAGGTCGAGTTCTGTCGCCCTCCGAGCCGGCGCTCGGCTCGAAGGAGCGACCGCGGCATGGCCATCAGGAGGGGAAAAAACACACAGACACAATGAATCGTCGATCCCCCAGAAAATATGGGAAAATATGGCAATTGGGCGGGAAGACAAACACCCAGAACATATGGGGAAATATGGGGAATTATCTTATTTGTGTATATTTATGTCTGTTTCCTGGGGCCCCTTCACACACACACACAAACACACACACAAACACACACACAAACACACACACAAACACACACACACACAAACACACACACACACACACAAACACACACAAACACACACACACACATTTTCGGGTGGCCCGCGCGGGCATCTTTTAGATCGGGGGAAAGGCCCGACAGCACTCTTGTGCGATGCGCTCCGGAGGTGATACCGCAGCCGCCCCAAGCGGTTTCCAGCGCCGATCCGAGAACTCCTCGCGGACCTTCTACAGTTACGGCGGCTCTCCCGCTGCTGGTTTCTCTATCGTCGGGGTCGTCCTCGCCGTAGAGTGGAGGCCCATGTCAAGAATCCCTCTGCTTGCCTCCAGGGTGCCCAGGGTTTCTTGGGTTTCGCTGGTTGTGCGGTGGAAAGCGCGACGTTCCCACACCAGAAATCAGTGCACGTCCCGGGGTCTCACGGTTGGGTTTCCTGCGGAAGACTTCTTGTGGATTGGCCTCCATTGTAGTGGTCGTCGTGCCCCCTTTTTTCGTCGTTTCCCCCTTTCCAAGGTGCCAACTCGGAGGGGGGAGATGCGACATCAACACCACCAGGGAGCCCACCTCCCGCGAGGAGGCCCACGATGCCTCCCCGAGCTGGAGGCTGGGAATGTCTCGAGCGAGAGGGGGGGACCACACCACCAGGGAGACCCCCCCTCTGCTCCTCGCATCTCCTCGCCCTGCTGGTGTTGGTGTCGCCTTTCCTTGTTCCTACGCTCTGGGGTCGGGAGCCGTGAGACGGGGGTCCATGCAAATGGGGCCAGCCAGAGCGCCCGAACCTGTAGGACCCTGCAGGGCCAGGGTCGCAGTGACACGGGCTTGGGTGCAGGATCCTGCAGGAGGTTGCAGGATCCCTCGCGTCGACGCGGGCTTGGGGGCAGGACTCTGCTCCTCGCCCCTCCCCGCCCTCTTGGCCCTGGCGTCGCCTCTCCTCGCTCCTGCCGGCCCCCCTTCCCCCGCCGCCGGCCGCCCCGCGTGTTGCCGCCGCCGACAGGTGGGCCGCGAGGCCAGCTCCGGCAGCGCAGGCCGCCGGGCGAAGCGAGAGGGGGCTGGATGTCAGTCGGGCCTGTGCCTCTACTGGAGGAGAATCCAAAGATAGGAAAACGTCGTTCGGGGACTGTGTTTGGATTCGTGTGCCGCATGTTTGGAGTACGTCCTGAGCATGCTTGCATTTTTCGTCGAAGGTCCCCCCTGCAGGGGGACACGCCCGTCTGAAGGCTGGATGGTGATCGTTGTCTGATTAATTTGTTTGCCGGTCGGCACGGGCCCTGGCACCCCCTCCCTCCCCCCTCCCATGGAGTAGATCTTCGCTGTTTTCGGCTCCCGTTTCAAGCAGGTGGGGCTGCAATCAGTCGCACTAAGCAGAGGTCTGGAGCCCGACCCCCCCCCCTCCTTCCCCTTCCGCCCAATGTCGAAACGCCGAATCAGAGATGGTCACATAGGGTGCTCGAGTGCCTCCTCGGTCCGCGCGAACAAGGTGGGTACGGCACGGACCTTGAGACCCTCGCGTGGGTTTCTTCGGTAGCGAATCATGAGAGCTTTGTGGACCCTCGTAACCCCGTGTTCAGCGTTGATTAGCGTCGATTAGGTTCTGGGTGTCGCTGAGATGCCGCAGATTTCGCGTCGGCTAGCGTCGATCAGAGTTGAATTAGGTTCAACTTGCGTCGACTTAGCGTCGATTAGCGTCGATTCGCCAGAGCCGAGGTTCAGCACGAACGAGGTTCGGCGGCGAGCGGGGGGCGCAAGTGAGAAGCAGTGCGCCTTCTCAGAGGGCGCCGGGACTTCTCAGAAGCCCTCCCGCCTTCTGATATGTGATTATGGAAGGACCTCGGAGTCTTTTGAGAACTTTTAGAAGCATCCCGTGCTTAGCCCAGAACCTGTGCTGAGCCCAGAACCTGAACCCCTTTTCCTTGACCGCCGTTTCGGTTTAGGGAGAGGGGGCTTGTCGGCCCCCTTTCACGAACATGAGCGCTCGGTACTGAAAAGAGCTTGCCACATCATCCTTCGACATCTCTCTTTTGTTATGATGTCTCGGCGAAACATGGTATCACTTGGGAATGTATCCACATGTGGTAAGCGGAACGACGGCAACGACAGCAGTCACAACGCAGACGACCAGCACAATTGGGAAATCGTAGACGATGAGCCGAAGGACAGTTGGGGCGAACTTGGTGACAGTATCGACGACGGCACCTGGGACCCCTGGAGAAGGTGGAAGCGGCAGGGCAGAGCAGCACGAGATCTGGATTCGAGAACGGGCCACGGGCGTCAGGGTGACTGGGGAGCTTGGTGGGCAAGCGACGACTATGATGATTGGTTTTCTGAAGAAGGAGGTATGGCAAGACGTTCGAGAGAAGCGGATCGGGCACCCACTCAGACAGCTCGAGAGGATTCGGCACGCCAGAACAGGTCAAGAAGCCGGTGGTGACAAGGAGGCTAGAGCGAAATGACGAACACGAAGGAGACCACCGACGAGGAGCGCGCCGAGGGAAGGAGTCACTCTGTCCGTCGTGGGATGGCAAGGATCCCGGCGAGTGGCCCGAGACGTGGCTGGCGATCGACAGGTGGAGTCGTTTCACGGCAGTACCACCAGAAGAACAGGGGGAGACGCTGCTGCCACATCTGGCGAAGGAGGCGGCGACGGCGACACGGCATCTGCGACCAGGGAGCGCGCAGTACCAAGCCGTCCATGGCGCTGGACACGCTCGCGTTCCCTGGGGCGGACGGCGAGACCTCTCAGCAGTTGGAGAAGACGCTATTCGCGGCGCCGAGAGCTCGCGAGGAGACGTCGATGAAGCTCACCAAAGATCACCAACAGGATCAGATCAGGGCAGAAGGAACTGGTCCGACTACTGCCGAACGCGCTGAACGAGACGGCCATGGGATTTCTACTAGTACGAGGAGCAGGATTGGCTTAGACGGAGAGGAATCAAGTACCCATCCAGACGAACGACGACTACGACGTGAACAAGCCAGTGGCGATCCTCAAGCGCATGACCGACGACAACACGGTGACCGACAATTTTGACGCACGCGAAGACGGCTTTCCTGGCAGGAGTTCGCGAAGAAGATGAGGCAGGGCCGTCCGGCGTCGCGGCGTTCGCCGCGCCGCCGCCGAAGCCCGGGACGCGGGGCGAGGCCAGGAAAATAGTCGCCGACAAGAAGACCAACAGGGGGTTCCACAGCATGAGGGGTCGCAAAAAGACCGAGGAGGAGATAGAGGACATCAAGAGGAGGGCCAAGTGTGGCATCTGCAAGCAGCTGGGCCAGTGGCACAAGGAATGCCCAGAGAACCTTAAAAACGAGGCCAAGCCGACTGGAGGTTTCCTGGCGATGACGGTCACCCAGGAAGACGAGGTGTGCAGCTACATCGCTCCAGAGGCGAAGATGGCGTCGAGGTCCAACTTCTTGGAGCGCGTCAACCTGGCGGTGGACATCGAGAAGTCGGGCGGACCAGGATGGGGAGCAGTGGGCACGGCCTGCGGCTCCATCCCGATGGGCATGGCGACGTGCGAAATGTGGGCCGAGCGCTACGAGCAGCGGCGCAACATCATGCTGGAAACGATTCCCTACCACGAGAAGTATCGGTTCGGCAACGACCAGGTCTGCGCAGCGACGGAAGGGGCCATCTTCCTGATCATGCTGGGTGAGTTCAGCGGGGTGATCTTCGCGCGCCTGGTGGTGGGAGCTGCGCCGCGACTTCTATCCAAGACGTCCGTCGTGGAATTCCAGGTGTCGCTGCGCGCGCCCCAGTCAGAGCTTGATCTTCCAGGGCAGAATGTGTGACTTTCTTTGGCTCACGTTGGTAGTTGGCATTTCCTGCTACAGCTGGACAACTTCGCGAGGCGGAAGAGAAAGCCTGAGAGGTGGGCGCCGCGCGCGAAGGAGGTCTCGATGGACTTCGGAACGGGTGCCAAGTATATCTATCCATCTACATCGGCCTCATGAGGTACCGCGATCGCCCAGCGATTTGAAACGTGCTTCTTCTCGGGCGCCACGGGCCTCGAAGGGGGGCGGGGGGCGCCTGGGCGAGCAGCGAGCAGGCAAAGGGCAGCAGACATAGTGCGAGTGCGGCGGGCAGCGGAAGAGATAAGGAAGGCGCAGGGGGACAGGCAGAGTGGGCACAACAACAAGATAGACAATAGCAGCTACACGCGCGACAATTTCCGAGCAGGCAGGGCCGGGCAGACGATCAACGACGGCAGAGCCAGCAAGGGCAACGGCGAGCACGACGACAGGGGCATCGACATGACCCACAAGAAACGAAGCGAAAATTACATGTAGTTCCGGAAACCTCGCATGGCTCGAGCCAGGTTTTGCGATCCGGATTCCTGAGACACACCTCGGCCCAAATTTTTCCGGATCTCCACGTCGCGCGGCGGGCCCCCGAGTTCCTTTATTCGGCGCTCGCCGTTTTGATCGTCGCGACGGCCCGCGACATCCCAGGAGTTGGCGGATGCGATCACGGCCCAGGCGAAGCCGGTGCCGCGCGCGGCCAAGGATCCGAAGGGCCAGCCCAGCAAGCAGCGCGACGCGACCTACAGGTGGCCCCGGCGCAAGATCTGCAATAAGTCAATTCCTCCGACGGGAGCTACGATGTGCAGGCGCAGCGGTATCATCGACCAGGGGCCGCGGATTTCGCGGTCGGGACGTGGGCCTGGGGCCTGCCATCCAGCGCGGGGGACGGACTGCGTCCGCGAGTTCACCTACCGCGTCCTGCATCGCAAACGCGAATGCCTTCTGCTGGGCGCAAACTTCACTTGGAGTACTACCCGAAGTCAGCGGAGGGGACGCAGGAGGCGATCGCGAAGCTGGAGGAGTTCAAGGGCGAGGAGGCTCGGATCAAGGGATGGCGTCCAAGGAACAGCAAGAGCAGGACCAGCAAGCAGAAGAGACCGAGGAGACAGCAACGCCACCGAGACCCGAGCGGACAACCAGGGCGGCAAACAGGAAGCTTCTCACCCGGCACCAGGAGAGCGAGCAGGACGCTCCAGAGTCGCAGGAGGACTGGGCGGAACTGGACGCGTCACCTCGGATCAAGGCGCCGCACGCATTGCGGGAGCTGATGAAGGACGAGACGCGAACGAGACGACCAGCAAACTTGTCGACCAGCTGTGGGACCATTTCGGAGCAGACATCAGCGAGCTGTGAACTTTCTCAGCCAGACGCAGATCAGCAACAAAGATAAGACCATCAAGCAGCTCAACCAGTCGAACGACCTCAGGGAGGCGATGGGTGCAGCGATCCCAGAGAGTCAGGTCTTCATGAGCCAGGTCCAGGAGGAGTACGAGCCGCTGATCAAGCACCTTGACGAGGACACACGGGCGGTCTGGGGCCAGATGGAGCACACCCAGCCGCTCATCATCATCAAGCCGCCCAGGGACATCTGCAACGCCAAGCTGATGGAGCGGATAGGCCAGGACACGCTCGCGTTCATATCAGACGTGGCTATTCGGCGGGCCATCGAGGGCAGGTGCTTCTATTACGAACAGCATAGACAGTCTAGAGATTGGGAGGCGCCGCTGGTCAGGAAGCTGAGGCGTCTACCCGAAGTTGATCATGGGGAAGCGTGGGCCAAAGGAAGGAGCTACCTGTCGAATCTACCAGGAAAGGCACTCGAGTTCGGGAAGATGCTGGGCCCCGGGCTCGTGAACGGGACCCCGCAAATGGACTTGGGAGACTCCACTGGGAGACGTCCACGAGTCGCTGAAGGAGCTTACTGGATCACTGGTAAGGACTATGGTGAAGGAGAAGACGACGGTTGAGATTCAAGAGGGCGGCCAGGACGACGCGAAGAAGGAGCGGGAGAAGTGCGCGTCATGGTGTGCTGCCCCAGCGACACCTTCGCATGACGAGAGGAGCAAGGACCCAGAAGTGAAACAGCAGGTCCAGAATATCCACGGGAACCTGGGTCACTGCAGCAACGAGAACTCGGCCATGGTCCTGAAGTACGGCAAGACAAGGCAGGCGCATACCGAGGCAGCTCAGCAGCTGGAGTGTACAAGTTGCGCAGCCAACAAGCGAC